AAAGGGACAGCAATTAGACAAACATTTTTTGCATGTGTGCCACTTGAATGGAACAATCTATCTACGGAAATCTCAACATCTACTTCTACGACAATGTTCAAAACCAAATTTAATACCTCGATTTTGAAAAACCCAAATAAAAACTACTATCTAAATCCTGATGTCCCGCGGCGTCTTGAAGTTTTTTTCACGCGATGTCGAGTAGACTTCCCTCCATTGCGCGACATACTAAAGGAAAGAAATTTGATAAATATCGGTGAACCGAATTTGTGCGATTGTGGCCAAACTGAAAGTCTTTCTCATTACTTTCTTAATTGTGATATATATAAATCACAAGGGGAATTGTGGGGAATTGTGCGAATCATTACTGTCTGTTGGATCTTTTAGTCTAGATCTTGTGCTCTTGAGAATTCACAAGGATTTGGACTCGATGAAGTTGATTGCTAGAGCTGCTACAAAATACATTAAAGAAACAAATCGCTTTAAATGATTCATCACTTGCCAAAAAAATCAATTATTCTTATTTTTATACAATCGAATTCCCTCAGATTTGCGTCACCGTTCCCCTACCCTCTCTTAATTATCATTTACTCCTTACTCTTCACTTCTCTATTTCTTTTGTTGTCTCTTTTACGTCTGTTCACTCACTTGTTGATTATTTCTGTTTCCATTCTTGAAGAATTTAGCTCATCATTCAACATTTTGTCGCGAAGTAAGAATGTTATAATGAGCAATAGCTCGGCTATGTTCTTACTTGTATTATTATTTTTAGTAAAGTTTATATAAAAAAAAAATCAATAACTACAGTTCAACTAAATGACAAGATATTTAGCAAGTAATGGCAAGAAAATTTAACAAAACTTACAGTGATTTTGAAATTACTCTTGCATTGAATAAATTGCAAACAACAAAGTTGATAAAGTTTATCGACACAGTCGAAATTGAGCAATTACCCGCTGAACAATTTTCATTCGTATCAAGTTTGTCGTCCTTCAATAACATTTTTCCATTCATAGAAACCTATTTTCGCTGTCAGCAACCGCTATCATTAGTTCGTAAACCACAACAGATAATAATATTTAAACTGAACAGTGTTCAAACCGGTCAGTTGTATCATTCACACTGTACTGGATGTTCAACAGCCTATTATCCAAACACTCTGGTCCAAATGATCGAAAATTTGTTACAACGAGCAGTCTCTATAACAAAGATCTGATTTATTTTGGCGATCGAACAGTATTCTCTACCGAGTTATTTACACATCTCGCATCCTCCCTATTACATCAATACACAGGTTTCGAAAATGATCAACAAATGTATAACAGTTTTATGCTAAAAGTAAAACTAATGTCCAAACCCAGTAACCATCCAATTGACAGCAAAAGTTCCAAAATCCACAGACATTTGTTGCAAAGTCAATTTCTTCTTTATCACCACTGTTTAATGATCTTCTTTTTCTACGACTTTGAAATGATCGAAATTTCAAACTCACTGCATCCTGAGAAAATTCTCGAAAATATGATGAATCGATATGAATTATTGCATTCTGCATTTATTGATTTCTGGGCTAATCATAAAATTCTTGGTCGCTGCACCGATTCATGTTCGATGGCATTCGTCACAGACGGCTGGATGAAAGGAGATTGTTGGATATGCAAAAATGAATCAGTGAATACACGAAGCAATGAAGTAGGTAGCTAAAAGCTTTCTACCGCTTTAACATGCTTCGTCTTTTTATTTCTCAAAGTGAAGTACAAATCGGCTGTGGAAAAAGAAAAACCAATGGTAATGGCTATTGCAAAAAATGTTCCTCATCCGTCATTACACTGGATCTAGAATCAACAAAAATGTCGACTACACCCAATACATCCACAGACATTTGTTGCAAAGTCAATTTCTTCTTTATCAAATTGAAAATTGAAAATTACTTATATTTAGAGAAAAAATCGACAATATCGGCAACAACAGCTACGACATCTGTTCCAGATTTAAATACTAGTGAATGGGATAAAGATACGTCGATGTCGCTGAATGATAGTAGCAGTTTACTTCTACCACTCAATACCAGTGTTTGGGATCATAATGGTAAGTCTTCAGGAATTATTTGTAAAAGACTTTGATCATCATTTTCTCTTTATTTTTAGCTACTATTCGTATGGACTTATCTAGAGCATCGGAATCTACAATCGAAGTGGCCACAACATCATTATCTTCATTGACTCCTCGAGCAGGACAACTTTTAACACGTGAAGAAGCATTACGTCAGATGAGGGAGAAAGGACAGCGAGCAGCCAAGAAGGTGAAGCCAGTTCAGAAAAGGACATCAGTGAAACAAAAAAAGAATTCCAAAGCAAAGAAATTGTCCACAATTGAAGATGGTATGTTATGCTGCCTGATATCTTAGCAAGTAATCAATTGTTTATTCTATTCAGATATAGATATTA